CAGTTCATCAAACATTTTGAAAATTTCTACCAGGTGCCAGACACCTTGCTGGGAGTTTAGCATAAAAGTAAATGGTTATTGCTCTTTAGACACTAAACATAATTGAAATCTAACACGTTAGATATTGAGGTAAAGAGACATGTCAAGGGTCCTGTTGGAAGCATAAAGGAGAGGCACTTAAACCAACTTTTTTGGGTTTTAACAATGTCAAAGCTTCTGTGAGTAGGGGCGGGAGGGGAGATCACATTCTATGTTGAGATGTGAAGGATGCATCAGAAAAAGTTAGCCATTTAAGGAAAGGTAAAAAGGCTGTTTCAGGCAGGAAAGTATAACAGAGATGTGGAGGCACAATATGAGACATGAGTGGCAGGAAGTGAAGCTGGGCTGCACCTGGCCTCAGCCTGTGTGTGTCATGTGTCAGGACTTAAAAGCTCGTAGGTACTGGGAAGCTAATGGAGAGATCAAAGCAGACCACTTAGTTCTCTAGGTGTTTTCGTTTATTGTAGATATATTCTATTTTTGTGAAATATTTTTGCTTGATAAGTTTGGAATGAATATTATGATGAATATTTAAAAATTAGAGCTATTTAGGAATTGTCTTACTTTTGATCACATCACATTTGCTTTCTCCCTTGAAAGCAAGTGAAGGCCAGATCAAGTCTAACATTTCCTTCTGTTCCTTCCTTCACTGATCCACATCTGAATGTGTATTGTAATTATTATAATGGGCGATAATGAAAAAAAAAGTCTTTGGAAATAGGTTTGAGAAATGCAGAGAAAACACTGAGGCCTTAAAAAACCTGAGTGGTAATGGCTCTTGAACTTCTAGCCAAGTAAACCCTTAATGTGTAAAGAGTTATGTTTTGCTGTTGCAAATGTGTTTCTGCACTTAGAGTCCGGTCATATATATTTACATCCATCTTTTTTACCCAAAGGTATTTATTAAATTTTTATTGATTGTTAAAGTAGAATCTGCTTAGTATAGATAACTTAAACACCAGAAAGTATAAATACTGCCATAATCCCACCACCCAAAGATAACCACTGTCAACATTTTGCATTGTTCTCAGTCTTCTGCTATTTGCTTTTTTATTTTCCCACAAAATTATCATATTGTTTATAAAGTTTTATGTCTTCCTTTTTTCACTTTATAATTTGAGTTTAAAAGATTCTTTAAAAGCACAATTTTTGAGTATATAATATCCTATTATTTAGGTGTATTTAACCATTTCCTATTGTTTGACTTTGGGGTTCATTCATTCCACAAGTTTTTTTTTTTTTCACAATTATAAAGCTTCATCGAACATAAATTTTTGACTACCTGTAAGATCCATATTGACATTTTTTAAACTTGAGAACAGAGAATACTTATTTGTAAATATATCTTAATTCAACCAAATTTCTTATGAATAGATTACTTTGTAGTTGATATATTACAGCATGAAATAGACATCTTAGATTCTAGAATTTAGATGAGGTGCACATTCTAGAGCCTGTATTCTATCTCTATGGTTGAATGTGGTATGTTCTTGTCCTCATGTTTCCCAAGTCCTGATTGTGGGGAATGTAGCCAGTTTGCATCCATGATACAGGTACATGTTTTCTTTCTGTGTGTGTGCGTGTATATCTATATATCTATATAGATATATAGATATAGCAGTACAATGAAGTGAATTAGTTATGCAAATAATAATAAAACCTTGAGAGTATTTCTTAGGAATTTTTCAATATTCAGTATTTTTGGAAGTGTCAGTGAAGTACTGATGGGGTGGTCATAATAATCTGGCCACTCAGTGTATGTGTGTGTGTGTGTGTGTGTGTGTATGGCATAAATGTGATCATTAAGTATGCATATTCATAGACTTTTAAAAATTATTTTTCAATTTTAAACTAAAGTTTACATTCAATATTATTTTGTATTAGTTTCAGGTGTATAGCGTAGTGGTTAGACAATCATACTTTACAGAGTACTTCCCCAATATTTCCAGTGCCCACCTGGTACCATACATAGTTATTACAGTATTATTGACTGTTATTCTCTATGCTGTACTTTACTTCCTCATGACTGTTTTGTAACTACCAATTAGTACTTTTTCATCTCTTCACTTTTCTCACCCAGTTCCCCAACCCCCTTCCTCTCTGTCAGTCATCAGTCTGTTCTCTATATTTTTGAGTCTGTTTTAGTTTTATTTCTTTTGTTCTTTAGATTTCACATAAACTTTTTTAAAAAAAAAATACATTTTTATTAATTTCAGAGAGGAAGGGAGAGGGAGAGAGAGATAGAGACATCAATGATGAGAGAGAAGCACTGATCGACTGCCTCCTGCATGTCCCCAACTGGGGATCAAAGCACGCAACCTGGGCATGTGCCCTTGAACCTGGCACCCTTCAGTCCTCAGGCCGACGCTCTAGCCATTGAGCCAAACTGGCTAGGACCCACATAGACTTTCAAATTTAGAAAAAATTTTGTAAAAATACAAAGATGATCTAAAAGAAATAGATTGAGCATAGGAATTGATAATTATTGACTTTTTAAGAGAGGAATATGTACCTGTGAAACTCAGTGTCATCAGAGCTAAAAAAAAAAATACACAAATAGTTCATTAAAACAGAATAAAAAAAGACAGAATTATAAGAATCAAGTTTAAGCTAACTTGGGTTGAGAGTTTTGTATATGGAAACGGTACTCAGCAATGGCAGAGACTGCATAGAGACTCTCTCTGGCTAGAATATTAACAATATATATGTATTGGACAGTCATGATACAGTCTCAGGATTAGCACTGTACCGGTGTCATTCTATGTGAGTTCATCATATTTTAATTTTTAATCTTTAGAGCTCTGTAAGATAGGTTCTATTGTCATCCACACTTTAGAAGCAGTAGGATCGAAGCATTCCTCACGAGTAATCAGAAATCCAAAGCAAATTACAAAGTTCCATTTCACCCTCATTACACTAGAATAGCCAAAGTTAAAACTCCAAATAGGGCAAATGTTGGCAACGAAATGGTAAGCCCTCCCACCCAGTAGTAGTGGGAATATAAACTAGGGATGCAAAGAAGAGACGGGCTTCAACTGGGTCTGTGATGTCTCATTTATCAATTTAAACACAATACGGCAAAATAGTAATGTTGAAAGGCAAGTGTTGTGATATTTATTGGAAACATTTATTTCTTATTTTTAAAAGTAGCTGTATTAAAATAGTTTCCTAGGCTGCCATAATAAAGTCTGCAGGTTGAGTGATTTAAGCAGCATAACTGTATTGTCTCACAATTCTGGAGAGAAGCAGCTTGAGATCAGTGTCGGCAGGGTCCCTGTCTGCTGAGGCCTTTCTGTTGGGTTTTCCATGGCCTCTCCCTGTGTCTTCACAGGGTCTTCCCTCTGTGTGTCTGTGTCCTGATCTCCTCTTTGCATTGGGACACCAGTCCTGTTGGATCAGGGCCCACCCGAATGATCTCGCTTTAGCTTAGCCACCGCTTTAAAGGCCCTGTCTCCAAGTGCATCGCTTTCTGAGGTACTGGGGTCAGGAGCTCCACATCTGAATTTTGAGGGGAGCATAATTCAGCCCATAACAGTAACAAAGTTAAATAATTTAGTTAGGAGCACATAGCTGGTGTGATGGATAAATGGGATTCAGACTCAGATGTGATTCAGTCCAAACGTTATTTCAGAATGCTACGCTGCTCCCCTTAGACTACTAGAGGTGTACCCCCAAACCAGCTAGGCCTTTGTTTTCCCAAAGACCAAGAGAGTGAGAGAAAAAAATTGTCTGACTTAAGAATAAAACCGAGAAGACATAGAAGCTGAAAACACTGACCTCAGTCACACTGCTTATTTGCTAAGCTGAATGTAGCTGGCATTTGGATCGGGGAAGGTAAAGAAACAGTTCGTGTCAAGTAGGAAATAAGGAGGGGAAAATGTGGCAGAGAAAGAACAAAAGCCTGGGGGTATTACAGAGGGTGTTCAGAGAATAATACTGCGTCTCTTATTAGATAGGTGTAGCAGAAAGTGAGACGCAGCTTAAAATATATAGTCTGCTGTTGTATGAACTCCATTAGTAGGAAATAGTAGCTGGGATGTTAAAACTGAATACGTGTAAATATCACAGAGTTTGAGGTAAATATGAGCTTCAGATGTAGATGAGAACTCCGGCATGGTCAGCCACTCATCCAACAAAATTATAGAGCTCTTCATCCATGGCAGGCTTTGTGCTTGATGCTGCCAAAAAAAAGACACTCTTCAGACCTATGAAAGTTTCTGAATTTAGTATTGAATTGTAGAGTCTGTGAAACAAATTCTGCTTCTCGTAGTCATTCAGATGTCAGTAATAGAACTCCCAAAGGGTGAACTCACCACAAAGTTTGTTTGGCCATGTGAAATTATATTTAAAAACAATAATCCTTACTTTGCTATGATAAATTATCTTGTTTTACGAAGATGAAACTTTAGTTTCAAAATGAAATTGAGTGATTGCTTGTATTAAATTATAACTTTTTAAAAATAATTGTACAGGTTTTTTCTTAATATATATATTTTTATTGATTTCAGAGAGGAAGGGAGAGGGAGAGAGACAGAAACATCAATGATGAGAGAGAATGATCAGCTGCCTCCTGCACACCCCCTTACTGGGGATTGAGCCCGAAACCCAGGCATGTGCCCTTGACCGGAATCGAACCCAGGACCCTTCAGTCCGCAGGCCGACACTCTATCCACTGAGCCAAACCAGCTAGGGCTACAGGTTTTTGTTTTGTTGTTTTTTTTAACAGCAGTTTTATTCTGAATGAAGACAGTAACATAGTTCAAGTACCATACCAGTTTATGTGTGTGAATCTTTTTTCTGGTGGGGAGAATGTGCTCTTTAAATCTTCTTTTTGGCTGTCTTATAGCTATATTTGGAGCTGATAATGTAATGCACATCCTGTCTGAGATATCTTTTTTTTTTCCCTGAGCTACATTGAAGTTATATCCTGTCTCTTCTCTTTTTTTAAAAAATAGGTAAAAAGAAGTGACTGAAAAGCATATCTGGACGCCATCTAACATGTCGAGGAGAAGATTTGATTGCCGAAGTATTTCAGGCTTGCTAACTACAACTCCTCAAACTCCAATGAAAATGGAAAACTTTAATAATTTTTATACACTGACATCTAAAGAGCTAGGAAGGTAAGGAAATTATATGATCTGTATGCTGTTTAAATTCACATTTTGGATTTGTGTGTCTAGTTATACGAAACTCAGTCGTTACTTAACAGTGATTAGAAAGAAAAGTCATCATCTCTCTGTTACTATACAGGCCCAGTCGTAACTGACGGGAGGGTTAGTGAGCTGTTAGGATGTCTGCTCTGTCCCCTAACTTGGGGTTGTCTGAGGTGGACCTGGGAAGAGGCAGCTTAGCCTAGTGACCTCAGGTAAATGACTGTCCCTCTTGATCATGTAGTTTCATCTGAGAAATGGGGTGAAGATAATTGTATAAATCTTACATGGTGGTCGTGAGGACTACATTAGTTAATATTTATAAAACACTTAGTAGAGTGCTATATAAGTTTTTGTCAAATAAAAAATTCCTGGATATTGTGTTTGGGCTTAAAAAAATAATGTTTAGATTCTCCCCTTCTTTCCTAAATTAAACAAAAAAATTAACTCATATTTGATATTAGAATTCTGTATAAAAAAGGAATGTATGTTCTATCAGTAAAACCTGTACTTACACTAATACTAATCTGTTTTGACTTAACCAAGATGTAAATTCCTTAATGACCTGAGATTATAAGACCATTTAGTGCTATCATTTTAATACTTATCAAAGTTATAAAAGATAAACCAAGGTATTTAAGTTATATATTCAGCATCTGTTGAGCTTTAAAGACAGTTATCAGAGGGTTAGAAAATGGTGATCGGCCTCTGTCTTCAGTTTGATTTTAGTTCTGGAGGCAGTGTTTTGGCTTCTGTTAAAATGCTTTACTAAGTCTGTATTTGCATTGATAAATTTACAGTAAAATAGTACAATTGGTTTTTACCTTAATTTCAATGTGAAAACAAAAATGGACCGAATCATGGAAAGTAATTATGTTGCTAAGCTGAATGTAGTTGTTGCACCCAACATCTTGATAGATGCAGTCTTTATTTTGCAAAATGAGGATGATATCTGCCTCACCAGACTAAGAACTAAATGTTTCATATTTCACATTTCTGGCATACTTATTATGTGTTAAAAACATAGTACTTTAGTGATGTATTAAAAGATACAGTTTTTAAAACCTTTCAGAATGTTTTAAAAAATTGTTTTGCTCTAAATCTTTAATGATTTCTCTGCATTGTCACAGGAAAGCATACGTTTCCTTCTAGTTACTTTTATCTCACGTGGCGTAGTCACGGAACCTTGGCATGGGAAGGACTTTGGTGGTCGGTGATCTCCTAAAACAATGTTTTAGGCAGGGCAGCCGTCTTTTCTATGATTTTCTTGGCAGGCTGTTTACCCAGCCTCAATCTGACTGCTTCAGTGATGGGGAACTCACGGCCTGAGAACGTCTGTTCCTTTTTGTGAGCACTTCCAAGGCACACTGAGTTCTGCTTTCTCTCTGTTCGCATCTGCAGGAGGCACGGTTCTCCTTTTGTGGCTGCTTATAATGTCCCTGTGACAATCCTTCCGAGATTGGACTCTGGCTAAGCATTGCCGGTTTCCTTAAACGCTCATCTTATGACCTCATCTCCAGTAGCCTTCTTCTGAACCACTTTGTTTTTTTCATTGTTAGTCTGAGAATAAGGAGACTTGGGATGGATAGGATTGTCAGTGTCTTACCATCTACAGTAGAAAACAACTTTATTTGAGGAGGCCTAAGATTCCATTGGGAGTTTTCTTTCTTTTTTTTTGGCAGCCATGTCAGATATGTGTCCTATGGCATCCGTTAGTATATTTTGTAAAAACAGATTAAACTGGAAGTCAGTTGACCTATTTTTACTCTGAACCTAAAGTTGTGTGATCTCTTAGTTGTGTGATTTCCTTTTCTTTAAGATGAGAGGGTGGATTAGATGTCTCCAATTTTCCTTCTGTTGCAAAAATGTTTGGAAACTGCTTTGAGCAGGTAACCGACTATGCTTTGAACAGTACTCACAATAAAGGGCATTCTTTTCTGCTTTTCTAAGTCACTATTTTAATGAGTAAATGTACAAACATTTATTAACTTTGCAAAATAGGGCATTTGGGAGCTAGAAAGTCTATAAAATTTCTTTGAGGAAAAGTTAAACTTTGTAGAGGACGGTATTAATACTTCTCAATTGTTTTACAAATAAGATGCCAACATAAAAAGCATAAATTGAATCATATATACTCTAACATTTCAGAGCAAAGACTCTCAGTAGAATCTGATGAAACACATTCAGATTTCTAATATCTTTATGAAAGAGACCTAGCATTTTTTAAAATTGTTATGGTAAATATTGATATAGCTAGTAAACCTTGATAAATTGGAAATCACATTTCCTCTGCCAAGAACTTGCCTTAATTCTTTTGTTGTTAATCCTCACTCGAGGATATTTTTTCCATTGATAGTGAACATTTTTTTTAAAAGACTGGAAGGGGGTAAGGGGAGAGAGAGATAGAGATAGATACTAGATATATCAATGTGAGAGAGACACCTAGATTGGTTGCCTTCTTCAGGTACCTCTACGAGGCCTGAGGGTGGAACCTGCAACCTAGGTATGTGCCCTTGACTGGAAATTGAACCGTGACCCTTCAGGGAGCAGGCCAATGCTCTAGCAACTGAGAAACACAGGCCAGGACTAAGTTCTTTTAATATCATTACCAATTTTAATTAGGATTATAATCCTAATTAATAGAAGTTAGCATTATAATCTTATTTAACCTGAGGCATGTACATTTTGAAATATCTAAATGCATAATTCTGGCATGTAGTGAACTACAAAGTTACCTTTCTAAATCAATTGCTTTTTATTAATCTTAAGATGTTAGTGTTTTAGAATTTATTTTCTTCAACAAACTAAAATAACATGCAAATGTTAGTAGTTCAATTTTGACTATTCTCAAAGCTCTTTGTGTTGTTCCTGTTTTTTAACATGTTGGTTAAGTTTTTTTCTACCCTCCCCCCAACTGAGGCAAGTTTCATAGGCCTCTGTGGTCAGAGGGTGAGGCTGATGCCGAAATAAACGTCAGCTTCCTTTGTGGTTGCCCTCCCCCTTCTCTCACATTTTATTGTCTATTCTAGAATGCACAGGGTAACTACTAGACCTTTTCACTGCTGGGAAATCTATTCAGATTTGCCTTTTTAGGGTATGAATTAATTATATATACTTGGTATGGATTTTAAATTTTCTTAGTTTTTGTTATAGTTGATGTAGGAACATTATGTATTGAAGTTTATTTTGATAATTCTAAACCACAATTAGCATTTTAGAATAGAAATCAAATACTTGTTTTTTTTCCTAAGTCATTTGATAATTATGATAAAAAATACTTAACCTTATTTAATGGTATGTAAATAAGGTAGTGAATATATAAGTAACATTTTATTGGAATCGCAAATAAGCTTTAAAAATATAAATGCTTTAAGTACAGGATTCAAAATAGCACAATATGTGGTATTATAGTAGTGGCTTAACTTTTGCTTTATTCAACAGATATTTTAGTTTCTGTTATGTGTTAGTTAGCTAATGGAGATTTTATAATTACTGTAGTAACTAGGACACATAGGGTCTCTACCTTCACTGGGCTTTTACTTAGTGGTGAACATTGGCAAATAAATAATTATCAATATTTGGTCACCTTTGCTCTAGACCAGTGGTCGGCAAACTCATTAGTCAACAGAGCCAAATATCAACAGTACAACGATTGAAATTTCTTTTGAGAGCCAAATTTTTTAAACTTAAACTATGTAGGTAGGTACATTGTTATTAACTTAATTAGGGTACTCCTAAGTCTTAGGAAGAGCCACACTCAAGGGGCCAAAGAGCCACATGTGGCTCGCGAGCCGCAGTTTGCTGACCACGGCTTCTAGACTAATGAGAACTAAACTTGCTTAAGAAAGCATATTTAGACTACCTGAAACAATTCGATAAAAAGTATTTAGTTTTGCTCTTTGTTTCTGAGAAAATCCTGGCTTATTGATACATTCATAAAATTATAGTTGAACTGAATTGTTACAATTAGTGCTATAAAATATGTGGACAATTTTCTTGGCCTACTATTTCTGATTCCTAAGTTTTACAGAGTGGATTTCTTCATAAAACTTAAAATTTCCTTTCTGTTTTAGATAAATTTTGTTTCTAAACCTAAGAAAGAATTGGCAGAAGTGCGTGAGTTGGACTTATTAAAAAACAGCTGTCTTAAAAGGAGGAATTGTTTTGTGGTGGTTAGAGCAGAAAGCCAGGGATTCACATTCCACAGTGTAACTCTTGGCACTCCAGTCCCATATATGACCTTTCATGAGTCATTTAATCTTAGTCCGACTCAGTTTATTTGGTACAAAATACCAGTGGTTTGAAAGAAAGCTAAGGAAATTATTAACTTTTTTGTGTGTTCATTGAAATGCATCAATTTGTATTTCTTTGCATACAGTAAGAAAATATCTTGTAGTTAAAATTAAGCATCCTCAAATAATGAAAAGTTCTTTCAAAGAATCAGGTTTGTCCATGCAGATTTATTGAGTTGATTTATATCTTGATAAATGTAGAGGAGGCAAATTATAGCTTGGTTACTTTTTTGGCATTAGTAGCTATAGGTTTTCAGTGTGATTTCCAGTGTATTTCATTGGCATCAATTTGGAGGAAATTTGGGAAATAAAGAGTAGGAATCTTTGTCATCCTGGTCCTTGAGAACAGTAAGTAAAATAGAATCAAACAATATATTTTGGCCCCACCCCAAACCCAAATACCAAATGAATTAAAAAAACTTTCCTTGGGAAGCACCTGGCATGCCATGTTAGAAGTATATGGAAGGGACATTGGGGCAAGAGGAGTGGTGGGACAGAGGTTACTCTCTGCAGATCCTTTATTTATACTGGATTTGTTGGTATCTAGAGAGTCATTTGAACCTTAGGATAGAGTTCCTTAATTTTGGATTTCTTGTCCTCAGGCTTAGAAGTTGTATGAATGGGCTTGGAACTCTGAAACCCCCCCTGAAACTGTATGTAGAATGTACTACTTAAGGGCACATGTACATTTTTCTGGATAGGCAATTTGTAGCTTTTATTAGTCTCCTAAAGTAGTATTACTCAAAATAACATCAGGTCTTTGGGAAACTAGATTTTGAGCAACTATAGGCTGAGAATATACAATTTGCCTCTGTCTTTAAATTTTGGCTGAGATGCTGAGCATTTATTGGAGAGAGCTAAACACATACTTACTCCTAAAATGACATACATGACGGTAATGGGTGTATTTGTACATAGCTGTTGATAACCATTAATTTCTTAGTAGAAGGTGAACTGTCTTTAGTTCTCTCCAAAGGACATATATACATACCTTTGACATCTGTTACAGGCTTCATAGACTACTGAGCAATACTAAGAGATTTACTGGTAATACAACTGAAAAATTGTGATAGGAAGCTTCAAAGCTTGTTAAAAGTGGTGTTGAAAGGCAAAGTGATTACACTAATAAAATTAAGTGTCAGGTATGAATTTTTGCGTTCGTCTTAATTTTTTGTATTTGAAGGAAAGCCTTTTTGATTAGAGAGTTAAAGCTATTAAGGGCATGGTCTTTGGAAATGGATCAAGATACATAGCCTCTCTGGAGCCTGCAAAACAAGAGTAGCATTTACTGTAGGATTGTGTGATATTAAACAGTAATTTTTTTTAATATATATTTTTATTGCTTTCAGAGAGGATGGGAGAGGGAGAGAGAGATAGAAACATGAATGATGAGTGAGAATCATTGATTGGCTGCCTCCTGCACACCCTCTACTGAGGATCGAGCCCACAACCCAGGCATGTGCCCTGACCGGGAATTGAACCTGGGACCCTTCAGTCCGCAGGCTGACGCTCTCTCCACTGAGCCAAACCGGCTAGGGCTAAACAGTAATTTATGTGGAGAGTATGGCATGGAGTTGATGTACAATGATCATGTATATATTAATAGGGAAGAACAAATATAATTCCGTCATCCTATTGCGACATTTGCCCTTCTTATTTTTATGTGGTAACACTGTACATTTTATAAAAGTACATGCAGCAGTTTAAGAGAAAAATGATAAATTTCATGGCATGATTTTTTGAAAAGGTTGATTCTAAGTTGGAGGTATAGCAGTATTTGTGTTGTACTAATACTGTTCTTTATGGAAAAGTTAGAATTGCTTGTCATTTCTTCCCAGGGGGAAATTTGCTGTGGTTAGACAGTGCATATCAAAATCAACTGGCCAAGAATATGCCGCAAAATTCCTAAAAAAGCGCAGAAGAGGACAGGATTGCCGCGCGGAGATCCTGCACGAGATTGCCGTGCTTGAGTTGGCAAGGTCCTGTCCCCATGTGATCAATCTCCATGAAGTCTATGAAAACACAAGTGAAATCATTTTGGTATTGGAATAGTAAGTATACACTCTAGTAAATTTAAGTAAATTTATAGCACCTCCTTCATTGGTGGGATAGGGTGACTTGAAATGTCAAGACAAGAATGATAAAGGTATGACAAGATCTTGTGAGCATTCCTGTTGATGAGATATTACAGGAACATAGGTACTTTATATTCATCTACTTTCACAAGGCTAAGAGTACAGCCCCACAGACACTAAAACTAAGTAGCAGAAGAGCCTAGGATACTACCAATATGATTTCATTGTTCATGCATTTTTGTGAGTACTACATGTGTCAGATTCTTCAGCTGACCTTTGAAAAGTTATCTACTTACATGGCATCTGCATGTTTGACTACGTGAAAAGTAGCTGACATTTTTCCAAAACAGTGATGGAATTCTAGGTTTGGAGGATGAATATACAAAAGAGCGTCATCAGCTTTCATAAAATCCTCTTTTTTCAATCATCTAAATCAGCGGTCGCCAACCTTTCGGACCTCACGGACCACCGGTTGGTGACCGCTGATCTAAATGGCAACAATAAAATGCTTCGAAAGTTTTGACATATTAGGACTTAAACTTCAAATCTACAAAGAAGTTGAAAGAATAACACTACTCTTCAACTTGATTCACCGATTGTTGACATCTTGCCATATTAACTGAACCATTTAATTGGTGGGTGTCTTGATAGTTTCCTTTACATGCCAAAGTATTTATCCAGTTTCTGCGAACTTCTGTAATCTGCTTCTTAAGTTATGTTTTTTTTCTTTCCTCTTAACTCTGGCTCACTTTCTATTTCTGTAGCTCCACCTGTGTATCTCTTTTGTGGGGAAAATGGTAGTCCTACAACAGACATTGGTCAGCTTGCCAAACTGAAAGGAAGAGACAATCTGATAGGCTGACAGTCATAGTATTTGTTTGACCTTGTTACTGAAATAAGCAAACAAAAAACTGGTAGGATAGTTTCCATGGTTACAAAAGTAATAGCCTATTGTGTTAAATTTAGAAGATATAGAAAATGGATGTCATATGTAAACTATGTTTACTTTTATGGCATATTCCTATATTTAAAAATCATTCTTATTTTCCAGTCTATGCACATTTACCTTTAGAAACAAATTGTGATCTATTGGGCATACTCTATTGTAACCTTTTTGTTCACTTAATATATTACATATACTTCTATATGTATGATGCAGTGTTTCTAAAACTGAATTTTAATTTAGCGAAGACTTTTGAAAATTGCCTTCATAATCATCAAGAAGCCCCACATCCAGAAAGGCTGGATGTTGGTTAGGTGTGGAACTGGTATTTGTTGCTCATTATAATAATAACGAATACTTATTTAGTATTTATCATGTGTCAGACACTGTGATGATCTGCGTTGATCCTTATAACATCTGTTGTATTCGGTGCTTTACATGGCTTATCTAACTTCATGCTTGCAGCAACCCACTGGAGTCAGGTCGATGCTTTTCAGTGTGTGTCATTGTGTTACAGTAGGAGAAACAGGCGCATGCACTTACCATCGCATTCGTGTTATGTGCAGTGTCTTTACAGGAGTGCACAGGGTGGAGTTCACTGCTAGACATTTTAAAGCAAACTAAATGTCTCCTACTCAGATTGTCTTTACCATGATAAAGTTAAGACAGAGATCAAAGTTACTTTCTCATCAGTATGCTGATTACCATGATAAAGTTAAGACAGGTATCAAAGTTACTTTCTCATCAGTATGCTGAGAGATGCAGAGGGTTGGGGAGCTGAGGTATGAGGTACACATGATCAGAGCTTCACATGTGCTCCCTACCAGCTGCCCCACGGGGTTCTTTGGACTCTCAAACAAAATGCAAAGCAGCGTAGCCCTGCGGCCTCTGCGGGCGGGCACCTGGCTGCTGGCACACTCGGTGTAGACGGCTGGACTGTGAGTTACATCAGCAGTGTGAAGGGTCAGTCCCCTGTCTTTCAATGTGAGTGAGACTCAAATTTGTGACAACCATTGATTTTTTTTCTTATGGCTCCTAATACATTATGACTTGCTCTTCTTCTTGGCAGTCAGTGAGATTTCTGAATTTCAGTTTCAGCTGCTCTGAAGCATGACTGCCTATTCCATCATCCATCCATCCATCCATCCATCCATCCATCCATCCATCCATGCATTCATTCATTCAACAAACACTTCTACATGTCAGACACTGTTCTCAATGCTATGGATATAGCAGTGAGCCAAAGAAATAAAAATAATGGTTCCTAGAGTGAGTGAGTTCCTGTTTTATTACATAGAATATGCTTTACTTGAGATATTCCCAAACATACCTTTTAAATTTGATGACTAACCATCTAGATTTTTTTTGCATGATGTTCTGACTGAGACCTTTTTATCTTATTATTTAGAGTTAGTCCTCAAAAAATAAAATCTGTTGTGTTGTGATAGCTCTGTTTTACGGATGGGAAGCTCAAATAAGTGACTGGCCCTAAATTATATTGCTGTAAATAGCAGATTTAGGATTTTAATTGTTTGATTCCAGACCTAGGGATTTTTCACTATGCCTTTGTCAACATTCTTTGGCTGTTCAATTCTTTAAAAATAAATACATACACACATACATACATATAAATAAAAGACCTGGGTTCTGGCCCCAAATATTCTTTGTGAAGCTGCCAAACAGGATATTGGTGAAGAATATTGATTCTCACCCATTTTATGCAGATTGAGATTCTGGTTCCTCCATTTACTATGTGACCATGTACAAGTTGCTGTATCCTCGTTGAACTTGGTTCTTCATCTGTAAAATGGAAGTAATAGCCACCTACCTCACAAGGTTGTCATGAAGATCAAAATAGGTGGTATTTGTAGTTAAATAAAAATGAGTAAAATGGAGGGGCAGCAGAACTGAGCTGCTAGTGTCAGCTATTCTTTTTATTGCAGTTAAGGCAGTTATTATTGAATTATAATGCAATTTAATTTTATTTGTTAAATATTCAAATATTAGCATCCATAATTTGAAATATTCTTGTCATCTACTTTATTCCTTAAAGAGCCCTCCCACGCCGTTCTTCTACTCTAAATGTGCATTTGGAGACTAAAATGTAGATGGCTGTGTGTCTTTTACTTAACAGGGATACAGTATTTAAAAACGTCATATTAGGTCAATGATTTTTCAAGTTTCTATTATCTGAATTTTATGTCAGTGCTGCAGGTGGAGAAATTTTCAACTTGTGTTTACCTGAGCTGGCGGAAATGGTCTCTGAAAGTGACATTATCAGACTCATCAAACAAATACTTGAAGGAGTTTATTATCTGCATCAGAATAACATTGTGCACCTTGATTTAAAGGTAACGTAAGATGCAATTGTAAGCACCGCTACACTCGTTCCTCTTTGCTCTGGCTTTGCACAGTGGCAGGCTGGGTTGGCAGGAAGCAGCAGTCAGATCTGCGGTCCAGGCGGCACTGGTGTGCTCTCTGTTTCCCTTGTGCGACATGGACTTAAGCTTGTGTTGGCCGAGAGGAGAGGCCTGCATGTGTGAGCAGCTCACAGTAGTCACTTGGCTCTTAAACCATCAGTTCTCCATGTTCTCAGCCTTAAAGCACCCCACACCACCTTACTCTTATGTCCTGGATCTTCCTGTTTATAAACCGCCTCCCTCTAAAATACTCAGTTCTGACCCATCCCTGAAGGTAGCTTCCTCCTTGTCCTCATTCCTTTGCTCCCTCACGCTCATCTTTCTCTTGAGGTTTTCAGTCTTTTGCTCCTCTGCCCGCCCTCCCCCCAGATCATTCAGGCCCCTTTCCCAAGCCCTGTCACCACTTCAGCCTCTCATGGTACTATTCTTTCTCCTTATCCTTCCGCCACAGCTACTGAAGGACCTTAACATTGGAATCCATCTGCATCTTATTTTTTGATATTGTACTCTTTCCTTTCTGTATAATTTCCCTTCCGTAGACTTTCCCATGCAGCTTACTGTCTAACCTACATCAGATCCAGGACCATCACACTGTACTGAACCATTTTCTGTTTCTGGAAATGTATGTACTTTATTTCCTCAAGCCTTCGTTCATGCGATTCCCCAGGGCACCTTTCTAACTGGCATGTCCTGTGTATCCTTTAGGATTCAGCTTAAGCATCTTCTCTACTGCAGAGTCTTCTTGGGCTTTATTATGGGCAGAATTAAGTAGTCGTTACTACTGAGTATTCTCTAGCTCATAATCAGTTAATCAGTCTATGTATCCATCTTTTTCCCCAAACCAAGAATCCTCTGAGTGACATTTTTACTTTATTTATCATTGACTCTATAGCTCCTTCTAAATAGTTTAGCAAATGTTTCATGAATGACTCATATGAAATATATGTTCCACTTAATTTACCTCTGATCAGAGACTAGTAGTGTTTTATTGCTGTATATTACTGATCATATTTTTGTTGTGCTTTATTAGCCACAGAATATATTATTGAGCAGCATATACCCTCTTGGGGACATAAAAATTGTAGATTTTGGAATGTCTCGAAAACTAGGAAATGCATGTGAACTTCGGGAAATCATGGGGACACCTGAATACTTAGGTAAGAATTTTCTCTTATTTTCTACACCATTTTGAAATTTATTAACTAAATGACGCCTCTACGTTATATATTTTAGAGCATCTAATTTCAGGATATATTTGGTTCAAGTATTTTAGTACAATGAGATTTGGTTATGACACATTTGAATGAACTGTAATGAATATAAGATTATTGAGACATTCACAACAATTCACAGCATATTAGGCATATAAGTTCAAAAGTTTAATGTGTGGGTAAAAAGAAAGTTAGGGAGCAGGAAATAGACGAAAACAGATCAAGTGGGCCGTCACTGCCCTTGAGGCCGGGCTGTTGGGTAGACATCACTTCTCCTTCGGTCCTGTCTCAGCTCTAATGCTGTTGACAATACAGATATCTTCAGTTCGCAGGAATTGGTAGCAGGACTCCTTGTTGTTTGTTGGTGCTACTTTAAAATGTGAGATTTTGCCTCAGTTTGTAAAAGGATTTTAAAGAAGTGTGACAAAAAAATTTATGACTAGATAATCTAATAACATTGTACTAGATCAACCAATTAGACTATGAAGGTTTTTAAGGCATATGAGGCAGCATGTAAATGTGAAGTTTTAAGTTTATAGTAGTAATCTGTCTATACGCTTTTGTTTCTGCGTGTATTGCTGTCCCTATGCAGACATTGAACTAAGCAGAGCAGGTGCTGCTCACAGCAAGACGTTCCCTAAGTGAGAAACGCAGCACATGACTAACTTCTGAATGTTAGTAGAGGCAATAGTGTCCTAGAATGAGTTATTGTAATTCTAGATAACACAGCTCCAGAAGTATACGAAGAGGTTGTAGGTGCTGCAGTGACAGCTGACCATATGTAGGTCTCAAAGGCTCTATTACCAACACTGCTAGGCTTTGGAAACAATTTTTCTTGGAGAAGTTAGGAAACCATACAGTGAAACCAAGCAATTATTATTCAAGCATAAATCTGAGTTTTTACTGTACTAATTTGAAATTTATGGTAATGTTTAGAAAGTATAGATAATTTATTTCACATTTTAAAAAGCACTTTGGCAGGGAAAGAGACAGTGGGAAATTAATTGCGCAGGAAATTAGGGATATGCAATCTACTTGTAAATCTAGAGCACATCCAGGAAGCACAGTTTGCTCCTTGTGTCATTGTACGATGCATGTGATGCTATTACCCTGAAAAGGAAAACTTAAATTAGGCTAATGAAATAACCAAACTAATCCCCAAGAGTAGTAAAATAAGATTTTAAGAAGATTTTAGCTTCCAACTCTTTACTTCTTCATAATTATTTTTTCTGGGATTAATCTAAATGATTAAAAAATATATATGTAGCTACCAGTTACACCAAAGAACATTATTGGGGCTTTTGAATCATGTGGTTACATAATTTGCTTAACATTAGATATGTTTAAATGTCCAGTCACAGGATAATTAATGTGATGTTAAATTTCTGTTGATCTTATATTAGTAGTTCTTAAAAATTAAATCCAGTTTAACTTGATATAAAGTAATTGTCATGATTTTAAATTTGTCAGTATTGAATTTTGAATTATATTTTCCCTTTCAGCTCCAGAAATCCTGAATTATGATCCTATTACCACAGCTACAGATATGTGGTAAGATTTTGTTAGTTACCTAAATGCCTTTATTAAAAGTTGGGTAGTGTATATTCTAGGGTTCTTTGATTCTAAATGTAAATAATAAGGCTTTTTTGAAAAGGTTTTACTCAAGTGTCATTATTATGCCACAGGAAAGTGTTTATCCGTTCTTTTTAAGTAGCACTTCGGCTCTGAGCCAGAGGTACAGAAATAAACAGGAGGAAGACGAGATGTAGTATAGGAACATGCTCCATGTTCTGTCATAAAGGTGAAATGCTGTTTACTGAGCGTGAGGAAGCAGCAGACAAGCACCAGGTGGGGGCATCTGATCTAGGCCTAGAACTGAGCACAAGAGGGAGGTCAGGTCAATGCAGAAGGGTAGTGTTCTGGGGGCATATCATAGAAGATATGCTCTCCTGAACGAGGGTGCACCGAGCTCTGTGGCTAGCCCAGAGGACCGGGGAGCAGACCTGGAGTTGATTATGCGGCTGTAGTTGGGACCGCTGTTGGCTCTGACTACAGGCCACGTGGAAGAGTTGAGGGAAGATTTGGGTTCACGGAGCTGTAATGGGTTTGCAGAGGAAAAAGGGTCCTGTGACTGAATGAGTGAGTGAAACATACTGTCCGCATTCTCTTTTTTTTGACTCCTGAGCACAAGACTTGTCATTAACTTATTTTAGGCTCTGAAAAGTTTTGTAGTAAAAAAAATCTACCCGCCCAACTTCATGCTTTGCCAAACTTGCAGACTCTATTTGCACAAAAGCCCTGTTTATGTCTCACAGATCATTACTGTGTCATTGGACACCATTTGGAAAATGCTGCTCTTTGCATGGCTTTGTGTACTTGGTAACAAGTGTTTGTGTGAAGGACAGACTGGAGGTATAATGATATATATTTAATATATTTATAACTACATAACACATGTGCACTTCCCCCATATTCTTTTTCTGTGAGGCAGACTTTGAGATTATTATTTTAGTTTTAATAATATAGGAACTTAGGAAAACAATTTAAGTCTGTAGTTTAACTGTAAAGTTGAGAACAGGAATATATATGTTGAGTATCAACTTTATTTTATATAAATGTTTTAATATTAACACATTTAAAATTCCTCTTCTCCCTTTTTTGTTTTTCAGGAATATTGGTATCATAGCCTATATGTTAGTAACTCATACATCCCCATTTGTGGGAGAAGATAATCAAGAAACATACCTCAATATATCTCAAGTTAATGTAGATTATTCAGAGGAAACTTTCTCATCAGTTTCACAACTGGCCACAGACTTTATCCAGAGTCTTTTAGTAAAAAATCCAGAGTAAGTAAGAACATTAATCTGTTTACTATTATGAAATAAATAATTTGTTTATTAAGAAACATACATTCTAAAACTATAACACTATTATAAGTAAGCTCTCGGGAAAAATGGAGAAAGAGGTGGTATGAGAGATCGTTAAATAACAAATTCATAATTCCAAACATGGAAAATATAAAATACAGAACAGGGAATTTTGGAGTGAAGGGAAGATATGGGTTCTTTTTCTCTCAGCCTGCCATTAATTCCTGAAATTCCCTAAAATAATTAGAAATAGAAGGTTTACAATACACACAGCTGGTTGATTTGTAGTTAAATGATCACAGTTATGTAGCAAGTGCAAATGCCTGATGGTCAGATCTTTAAGGATCATCGGGTGCTCTCTGACCGCCTACCAGAGAAGGGACTTGAAACTGTGGCTTAGGACTCTGACCTCACTCATTGGCAACTTCAAGGCAGGAAAAGAAAAAGCCAACCTCCCTTTTGTCTGCCAGGGTCAGCAGTGTTTACGTGGAAAGGGCAGGCCTTAATGCAGAGGCTGTGGCCTAGTGCCCTGGTGTGATTACTTGTCAGGACGTTTATCTCTGGTCATTATTTAATCTCAGGAGGACTCAGTCTCCTATCTGCTTAAGAAAAAAACCTCGTAGGTTTGTTAATTATTTTATTGGCCCAACCAGGCTCTCACTGGCTGTATTTCGGACGTGACAGTTGAAATAGTACCACTACTGTTTGTTTCTGGTTATAGGCAGTTTTTATTTGCTTCAATATTCTTTTGCCTAGGTTCTAAAATTTCTATAATGAGCACATTATTTTTTTTATAGTTAGAAAAAAATGAACATGAAGGCAAAGAAAAGAAACAGGTTTTAAGGGTAATGTGGTTGTGTGAAGGTTGAAGCTCTGGGCTAGATAGGTGTTTTTCTTACTTTTGAAATATTGTGATATTTGACTACGTTACTTTTGTAATAGAAAGCAAAGTTTAAAAACTCAAAATGCTAGGTAAGCATCATTGAAGAGTAGCTTTTGTTTTTAAGACTTAGCAGTGACTGCTTTTAATAACAAAATAATATTAGATATTATAAATCACATATATTTTCCTTCAAAGGGTCTATAAACCCAAGAGACTTTATAATTTCACTAGTTTTTATTTGTGAGGATAATATCCATTCTCAAGCTTTTTGACTAGTTTCATCTGTAAGCTCCATGATAAATTGAATATTTGGCACATGTCAGAATGAAAGAGATTGCTAGGTTCTCCAGGGTTCCTATGCTTACTCCCTTCTGTGCTGTGGGTATGTGTTATTTTCATATTTATAACAAGTAACTTGATGATACACTGAACTGCAGACATTTCCAAACTGCTATTTAGTTCTCAATTTTTCCTTGGTGTTTTCTCTCAAAGGAAAAGACCAACAGCAGAGATCTGCCTCACTCATTCTTGGCTACAGCAATGGGATTTTGGAAACTTGTTTCTCCCCGAAGAAATGTCCAGTCCCCCTCAAGGTCAGGATCACACAACAAGGTCCTCTGAAGACAAGACTCTGAAATCCTCCTGTAATGGCACCTGTGAGGATCGAGAAGACAAAGAGAACATCCCAGAGGATAGCAGTGTGGTTTCCAAAAGATTCCGCTTTGATGACTCGTTGCCCAGCCCCCATGAACTTGTTTCAGATGTGCTCTGTTAGCACTCTTCTCTCTGATTCCTGTGGACTGAACTTGACATTTGAAATCCACTCCAGTGTGTGACTGTGGTCTGTAGCTTTATATATGGCTTGTTTATATTGTAAATGCACTTTTGCATAGGAGGATTTAGGAAATTGTTAAAATGTCATTAGTTACTAGCATAATTTAATTTCCTATCCTGAGATACCACTATGCAGAGAAGAAAAGACTTAAATATATAACCAAAAATAAAAGTGTGCATTGGAATAATTTAAGTTCATATGGACTTTCAAAATGTTTTATATATCAGGAAAAGAAAGTAATTTGAGTTATATTATGGTTGATGTAAACTGAAAATAATGAAGAGATATTTTATATTTGAAGATGTTTTGATGGCTATTTTGAAATTACATAAGATTCTCATTATATGTAGTGTGCTCTATGAGATAGGTCCTTTACCCAGAGCAAAGGGGGATTACAAACCAGAGCAGGGATGTTATGTACAAGTTAGAGCAGAGGAAAGAGTAGCATGGCATTTTAACTCTCAGTCTTCTTCAGATGTAATTGGATCTGACAAATGGAAAATACGGTTTATAAGGGTAGAGGATTTCATCTTCCAGAATTCCTAGAGTAGAAGATACTTCGGGAAAACTGAGTGCACTCCATTTTTAGTCGGCCAAACACCTTTATTAATTGAGTTAGGAGAAAATGGTGACAGACTTAGGTGACTTAGAGAATTCTAGATGTCTTCTAAGTCTTGAGATACGAGCCAGGCATTCAGAGTTCTAAAAGTGAGCATTCAAAAAGTCACAGCACCAGTGGGACTATGAACACAATGCCAGAGTCACAAGGTAGATGTGGTCATAAAACACCATGCCCTTAAGCCCTCCTGAAGTTCCCGCGTCGATTCCTAGTGGTGGTGCGGCTCCCAGAAGGCCCCCTGCAGAGGGGCCCTCGCGGTCTTCTGGTGGGACCAGTGCCAGTAAGTCCCTGGGACAGCAGGACGTGTGCTCAGGGCCGGGACTATGTGTGGTCCCAGTGGGGCAAGTTCACTCCTGGGGTGATCTTCGATGACTTTGCACCTGGTGACTATTCAAAAGTCTATTATACTGTCATGTTAAGGTCATTGTAATCTTTATATCCCCAGCATTTCTTGAAGGAAAGTTGTTTCTATTTGTGTGTGTGTATATGTACAGGTATATGTATATATGTATAGAGAGAGAAAATATAGTCTTTAGACAACTTTGTCTAGGCATTCTTCACTCTGATATGCTCAACTCAGGTGCCAAAGGAGCTCTTGTCTTATGACATATGAATATACATATAAATTCTTTAAGGAGCAGTTTGTTGGGTCAATAAACTAGTCATTGTGGAAGCTAAACTGGGTTTTTGTATATGTAAAACTGATGAGTTTTTTTCTGAATTGTTGATTGTCCATTTATTTGCCTTCAGTATTAAGGTAATGCAGGTAAAGCTTAGTAAGCCATTGGAAAAAGAGAAAGTGATTACTTTTACAAAAGACCATATTATATATTTAATTTCTAGAGAAATTGTGCCATACTAAAAAAAAAAAATCAAGAAATGTTAGAATTTTGAATTATAAGCTAGTTCTTAAAATATTTTATACTAGCTTTCTTTAATTCTTAAGAATATTAAAATACTTTATATACTTCCTCTTAGTTAATAGAATACACAGAGTTGTAAATTTCCAGACCTTTTTTCCTAACAATTTCTATTATAAAAAAACAAAAACAAAAAAAAAACCCAGTGGTTGCACATAAACAGTATTCAATTTTTTTCATAAGGGTGAATTTAAATATTTTTACTAATTGAAATGTAAAAATAAAGTAAAGCAATCTTTAAAGAGAAGTTATTAACAAATGACTCAATTCTTATTTTTTCTTCTCCCAAGATTGAAAGTCTATGAAAAGCAGATGATGTATCTGACTGAAGCAGGAATCTAGAGTCCCTGTGAGGTGAACGGATGCCTGAAAACACATCTGAAGAGTAGTGTGAAACTGTGATGAATTTATAGAATTTAATTTTCCTCTTGGATCAGATCCCTAGAGAGGTGGGATTAAAAAGTAGTAGAATAGATGACAGTTATAATTGCCATTTAACTTTTTTCCCCACACAAAGTTAACCTAACTCTGAGGACGAAAGTTGTCATGGCCCTTTAGAGAAGCCCAGCAGGGCCTGTTCGTAGATTGTGATGAGAGAAGGTGCCTGTGCCGGAGGCTAAATCAACACATAGCTTCCTTCATCAAGGAAGTCTTGCTGTAGCAGCTGGTTAATGCTAGAACTGGTTTTCATCTAGCACGAGCTCGATCTTTTTGGATTGGTTGCAGATAGTTCATGGGCCATACTTTGAATAGCCCGCTCTAAGCAACAGTGATAAATGTTGGTATTTTATAACTGTTTACATTTCCTCTATTTTGAATTTTCAGTTTGATATCTGACTTGGGAACATCCTTATTCAATGTTGTGTAAACAATTATTCTTTAATTTCAAATTGTATTAAAATTAAGTTATTCAACTTCCAGTTTGGGAATTACCAGTTTATACTTTTATGAAAGTTTAAAAAACTTTAATTGTAAATTTCACACCAATTACAACTGCCCTCCAACTTAGCTTTCATTAAATATTCATGTTGCTTGAGGCATATTGAATGACATTGTTATGAAACCTTCAGTAACAAAACTTGTTACATCAGCTTAATGATCCTTTTGGTTAAAAATTATAAGGCACTTTTGTTTACATTTGTGGTTGTCTTTTGTTCTAAAGTATTTCTAAATGTATTATTCATAAAAGCAGACCTTGCCTGGAGGCTCTAGCCTTTGACCCACATCATCTTTGAACTTCTTTCCCAATGCAGACGTGTTTATTAGATCTTGTCTTTTGGAAAAGTCACACATATTTGTGAACAAGGTCTATTCTTTAGTAATAATAGATACTTTAAGGAAATGTCAGTGAATGGCAGAGTACTACATTACTGTAAAGACAAATAAGGAATTCAGAGCCACCACAAATGGTTGAACTGTTATTTTCTCAGTTTAAAATTTTTTAATGAATAAAGGAATTTTCAAGAAGTTTATAACCTGGTTGTCAGTTCCCTTTATTTACGGTAGTTATATTCTATGAATTCCCCATAAACAGTGAATCCCAAACACTGCTTCTAGGAGAAATACAGGGTTAGGTTCCTGAAAGCTCTTCATAACATTTTTGTTCACTGAGCAATATATAACCTTGTTTTATGTGCGTTTCTGTTTACAGAGACCTTATTTAATAGTTGTTCATTAACATTGAACCCATAGCTAACAGCACTAGAACTCATGCCTGAATGAAGCTTATCTGATACATGTGTTTTTTTCCATAAGGCCTTGTGCATAGGAACACTACATGCATAACACTTCTGAACTATGAAGTGTTATAAACAGTAAAATCACCAACAAAAATGCAGAAAACATGACATGAATTAGACCACAAAGAGGACACTTGTCTTCCAGTACGAGAACTAAGAAGGCAGGGTCACCTTGTTCAACCTTAGCTGGGAACAAGTGTATCGGGCAACTCCACTCTTTCACCACGTGAACGTGTTAGCAAATGACTGAAAGCACCATGCATGTTGATTTTGGGGTTACACACAAATTTTAGCAAGCAGGTGAATTTGCAAATAAGGAATCTGTGAATAAGGAGGGTCAATTGTATATGCTAAATCATGTAAGAAGTATGAAGTATAATGAGAAAAATGGTGTGTAGAACTTCACAATTGAGGAGAATTTGATGCCTTGAAACTTCCTAATTGTGAACATTTTCTGTTCCATATCTTTTCTTTTTCTGGAACATACACATTCCCAAATTTTCTCTTCAGCCCCAGTTTTTCTCTTGGGCACTGAAGTGCTACATATTCTCTTGGGAAATAACGGAGTACCCTCAAATGTAAAATAGCGCTAAAATCATGATCATATTTTCCCTTTCTGTATCACCTCACCCAAACTTCCTTAGTTAATACATCATGTTCCCTCCCTTAGTTAACACATCACAACTGGAATTTAGGTGTCATTCTAAAAATTGTGTTTCCTACTGCACCTCTTCCAATTAGTCATTAATTTTCATCAGTGATATCTCCTAATATCTTACAGTCATTTCCTCTTGATTCTTATATTGTGGAAATACAGTTGGGTCCACATTCTTTTACTTGGTCTAGATTGTCTAGATCATCTACTAGTAGAGAGGGGTCAGCAAACTTTTTCTATAAAGGGCCAATTATTAAATATTTTAGGCTTTGCAGGCCAGAAAGCATCTTATCACTACTCAATTCTGCTGCTGGAGCATGAAAACAGCCATAGACAATATGCAATAATGAATGGGTGTGCCAATAAAACTTTATAAACAGACATTGGGCTGCATTTTTGTTTCCTGACTCTGATCTAGATCATCAAGATGATACTCTAACTGGTTCTCCTAGTTCTAGCATGACTGAGATGGGAGGAGAGGCCAGGACCGGACAGGGCAGTGAGTCTCATCTCACTAACAAGCAGACCTTCAAGAGGCAGAGGGCTGAGAGATGGTTGTTGGATACAGCGATTTCTCTGTCATGAGTTTGTAAGTAGCTGAGAAAATAGTGAGGAAGTAGAGGCCGCAGGTATATTTCCAAGAAATCTACGGGGAGTGGGGGAAGGGAGAGGAGAACAATAGTTTGTAGAGTGTTTTGAAAAATGTTTTAGGCAAAGAGGAGGAGTCCACATGGCAGCAGCAATTGAAAGGCACAAGCGTGCAAAATGACTAATCGTTAAAAATGCCAGAGAAAGTGATGAGATCACAAACATAATTGGAGGGGGCAACCTTGACTAGAATAAGTAAAAACATTTTTTCCTGACAGACAAGAGAAGATTTCATGTAGTCGTCTGCTGAGAGTAATGGGAGTGGAGGTGGGTGTGCCTTGAAGAGTGAAAATTTGGCAAAAAGTGAGGAACAGAAGAATCCTTGAATAGTGTTGGTCAAATAAGTGTAGCTTATTTGACAATCTATCAGGCGAAACAGATATTAACTACCAAATATCTTCATTTGCGATTGAAGAGCCTCTTTTGTAAAGTGTGCAGCCAAATAATTTTTAAAGTACTAATTTACAATCTCTGCCTGTATTTTTTCCCTTTTAGAGCAAGAGACTGCTTCTTTGCATCAGGGGAAGTAGAGTAGCACTCAAAAGAATTCTAAAAAATTCCACTGGGGCCTTAATTTGCAAATACTTAAATCTATTGAGAAACACAGAGTTTGGAAAGAATGGAAAAGTCTCAGGAGATAACAAGGAGAAAGAGATCTTACACGTCTTACAACAACAAGAACTTTGCTCACTTCCCTAGTACACATATGTGGAGAATTGCTGGACCTTGTAGATAATGGTTCAATGCTGTGAATGTGGCTTCTAGGACTAAGGTAGAACCAAAATTGTTATGTGGGGCAAACTTTGCCTCTGGAAGGAGCATGGCATCAGAGGGAGAAGATAGCATTGAGTCTGAGAAGACTCATATGGGCCTTATTAGATCTTTTTTTTTTTTTTTTTTTTTTTTTTTTTACTTTGGATAACATCCTCATGAACAGAAATGTTCTCACTAGAAAAACAACACTGGAATTCATATACCTGGTTCTCACAGAGAAGGGGGTTGGCTATCCTTAGTGGGTTGGCCACCCTCCGGTGTCTCCACCAATGGGAGACTTACTTTCAGAGACTTGCATTGTAGTTGTCTGCTTTCAGCTTCTTCCCCAGGAATATGGGTGAAGTTATTCTGTGAGAACCAGCTCTTGTACCTGAGAAGGGACTGGGGAGATCGGGCTTTCCACATAAAGGATCAGTAGTCCTCTTTGTAGCACTGTAAGCTTCATACCTTTATTAGAAATCGCCATTCGATCCGGATACAACACACTCTGATGCTCATGGGCCATCACTGTCTTGAAGATGTTTCCTTGATCAAACATCACGGACATGGCTTTCTGCAGGGATCTCTGAGCCTGACCAGCCGTTGGGCTCCAGAACCAGCTGACTGCACTGTCACCACATCCTCCTCTTCAGGGCAGGAGAAGATAGAAGTCGCAGCTCAAGCAAAGAGAGCACATTTCCCCTTCTTCTGCCTTTTTGTTCTGTGGACCTCAACGAATTGGATGTGCCCACCGGCGTTGGTGAGCTTGATCTACTTTATTTGGTCTACCAGCTCTAATGCTAATCTCTTCCAGACTCACCTAGAAATGTTTCACCAGCTATTGGGGCATCTTTTAACGCTGTCAAGTTTACACCAAGTATTAGCCACCACAGCCCTTTCCATATCTTCTGACACCTTCCCTACTTATCAAAATTTTTCCGTAAGAATAGAAAAGTTCCAACATTTTCCATATACATGGTTTCCTCACTACAGGCAGAGAAGGAGGGTGGGGAAGAGCAGAAAAAAGAGAAAGAGAGAGAAAGAGAGAGAGAGAGAGATTCTATCTTCTTACTTTATGGAAAAGTAAAAGTTTTACTCATGGGAAACATATCAATCTCTGAGCTTATAGAAATCAATTAAGTACTTTCCTTTAATATATATTATTACTGAGAAAACTGTTCAAGAATCTCTAATGGGGAGGGTGGTACAAGATCTTATTCAGAATCATATGAATAATCTCTCACGTTTGGACCCTATGCCAACCCGATGCTGTGGTCATCCAACTTTCAGAGTAAACAAAAAAAGTATTATTTTATAATTAGTCAAAAGGATTCCACCCTCTGTGGTTCACCACTGGAATTTAAATTTAGTGATTGTAATACCCCTTTGAAAGGCCAAAAGAAAGATATATGCTAATTATACCAATATTTCTAGCCAGATGGTAAAATGCAACTAGGTCACCAATTATAGGCAGAACTTGAAGTCCACAGTCACTCTAGCTATACTGAATAGTGAGCGCATGAGTACAAAATGTTATGTGAAGAAAATTATAAGCTATAATTTTGAACAAATAGAACAAGCGTTTCTCCATGTTATATAAGGCATGTCATAGCCCTTCCTTCCCCTGTAAATCATCATCATGACTAAATCCATGTGGCTTCATGACGTTCCCGGGTTATAATTGAATTAACTGCCTATATACTCATACAGAGTCAGATTCTATGGCTGAAACACTCTGATTTATTTGTTTCTTCCTCTGAAGGAGGCTGCTAGCCCAATTTATTAACAACGTGATTGGCTTTTTAATTGGGACTCGCACAAAAAGGCTTCTGAAGGAACTGAATATGTAAGCCCTCACAGACTGAAGACCATTGAAAACAAATTATAAAGGGAGAAAAAGAGTGGGGCCCTTTAGTTAGAGGCCTTTTTGGCTGCTTTAACCTGTGTGAACAGCAATTACTTCTTTCTTTTACAAAACAGCGGTAATCAGCTGTTTGCTTCTTTGATTAGTTCCGGTCCTAACTCATTTAATACCAATGATTAAGCCTGGGATCCTGCAAATAAACCTGTCTCCTTTCCCCCCAGAAATAGAATGATTGCAGTGGCCAATGGCTGGGGTCTTTTCTGTAACTACATTTGTAAGAGATTTAATTACCTTGGCTCTGCTCCAGTGGCCCAAACAACACGCACAACAGTCCCCCCAACATCGTGTCTACGTTTCAGTTTCATTTGGGAAGGTCTTGACAGCCTGTGTTTATAAAATGGGTGTTTGTGTGTCGATATAAAAAATATTGCCTGTGGGTGTGTCTGTATTCAGAGATATAGAAGACATAAATGAAAGGGGGTAGAATAAAGTTTGCTAAAGGCCCATTATGGATTAGGAACTATACTTGATTCTTTTATTCATTCGATTCCATCTAATCTTCACAAGGACCCTGCAAGTCAAAGATTAGCTTCATTTTGTCGGTGAGGAAATGATGTCTCCTCGAGGTGAAGGACTTCTTCAACGTTCCCTCATCACCGCATGCCGGGACCTGCGCAACAACCCACCTGGCTTCAATCGCCTTCCCTGTCTTTTCCATCCCACCAGATTTGAATTACATTTTCCAGGATTAATTTAAAAACCAGAAGAGAGTGATTGGAAGCGGTAGCATTAAAAAAAATGTTTGGATAAAATGTT